TAGTGAGTGAGTGAGTGAGCTAGTGAGTGAGTGAGTGAGCTAGTGAGTGAGTGAGTGAGCTAGTGAGTGAGTGAGTGAGCTAGTGAGTGAGTGAGTGAGCTAGTGAGTGAGTGAGTGAGCTAGTGAGTGAGTGAGTGAGCTAGTGAGTGAGTGAGTGAGCTAGTGAGTGAGTGAGTGAGCTAGTGAGTGAGTGAGTGAGTGAGTGAGTAGATGGGTGGGAACGAGGGCACGTAAGTGTGTTAGTAGGTTGTCTGTCTGCCTGTCTGTCTTGCAGTCATTTATACAGTCCGTCCGTCAGTTAGTCAGTGTACTATCCGGTAGCTTAGCTAAACCGGGTACACGAGAGTCCTAGCCAGGTATTCCTTATGCTGGCCGTATGAACTAGTCAGCAAAAATGGACTGCTCATTAGTAAAAACCTTAAGTCAGGCTGTTAGTCTGTCAGTCGATCAGTCCTACAGTTAATCAGTCAATAGGTAGGTACCTTTTTTTCGTTTTTTCTCATTCGTTCTTTTTGTCGGTCGATCCATTGGTTGCTAATGATTTAACTCAGTCGACCATCTCGTCAACCAGGGAGTTGGTCGTTCAGATCCACTAGAACTTCAGTCCGTTATAAAAGTCAGCTTGCCTGTTAGTCTATATCACTAAATTCATCAGTTTGTCAGCGATTTAGAGATACTATTTCATAAATGATAGTTTTAAAATCATTGTAAAGCGCCATTGGATAAAGATAGAAATAGCGCTATTTAAATTTTTAAAAGAATGAGCATTAAGTTATTAGAAAGAAAGTCTAGTCTTAGAGATTCTCATTTTGTTCACTCATCTAGAAGGACATGGCTGTGCAAGGCTGATGACACACAGAAATGAGATGCTGAAGACAGTGCAAAATTTTCACGACAGTTTTCGAAAACTTTACATGGATTTATCATATATAAGTGCTCAGGAACTTCAACATTTTGAACAAGAACGAAAGCGAAGGGAAAAGGGTCGGAAAAGTGCTTGGACGTGATAGAAAGTAGATTACGTTACACAGAACTCTTTCAAAATTTGGAATGAAATTTTATACTTAAGAATTTGTGCATATTGAGTTATTGCTAATAAGAACTCCAGCTGAATATTAAACCAAAACATTTATTAAACAGACATCTTAGCGGAAACTTTGTGATCGATGTTTGTTTAAAGCATTGTGGGTCTATTCACTCAAACTATAATGTCTTTCCCTTTAGACAAAGGCAATATGTTCCTTTCTCACGGTTAACGAAAACATATCAACGTTACCTTTTTCCTTATAGATGTCTTATTTATCTTCATTTCTGCGAGTTTTTTAAACAATACTTTTGCCTTGGATTTACCGTTGGGTTTTTTCCGAATGCTTTTCAAAACGAATTCTATAACAAAATATATTTGAAGAGATCAGACCCACCGGAGGGTTTTTTATAATAACAATTTAACTCAACACAACTTAAAATAACTTTATCGGGGAAATTCTCACAGTTGTGTAAATATTTTTTTCCCTCCTAACGAGGCGATAATTGTTAAATTTCGTCAGTAGAACAATCCGAAATTTATTATTCAGCCCTTGCTGTATCCTTTTTTAATGTTACCCGAGTGCGCGGAGGTTAATTTAATTTTACTTACTGATGGCTGGGCACAACTGAATAATCCTTATAGAAAAGTTTAATGGTGAATTCGTTCGTCCTCAAGGCAGATTTCAACGTCCACATAAAATGGTACATATATTTCAATATCAGTTTCGGCAATTTCTGATGTATCTTACTTTTCTCTAAGTAAAACTTATTGACATGAATATCTTGTCCTGAGAATGTCTGAAAACTTAATTTTTTTCCAGACTTTTATGTGGATTCTACATTTTATATTCACATTTCACATCGAGTTTTCAATGATTCTACAGATACAAGGTAAGTTTACAAAAGAAAAAAGAAATCATAAATTCGCGTTTAAAAAGTTAATACAAATATTTGGTTAGGAACAATGGATGGTTTCTTTTCATGAGTTCTTTTCTTTTTACCTGTAACTGTTTTGGGAATCAAGGAAAATGTTTTGTAATTAGTTTATGACAAGGATCTTCCCGAGGAATATAGTGTGAGGTATATCCGTGGATCAAGATATCGCTGTTTCTTAATATGCTTGTGCTTGGAAAAGAAACTTTTGACAATATCAAAACAAACTGAATGAAGATGAAATCTGTAGGCGTTAAACGTTCGTGCAAGCATTTTAATTTATCGATGTTTCCTACCGGCAACAAAGTAATCGACTGAACAACGTAACCGACAACAAGTAAAAAAAAAAAAATCGTCTTTAATCAAACCCTGGAAGTCTTTATTTGGATAATCTCATATTGCAGACTGAGATGATCTCAACATTTTACTAGGGGAAAAAAATTAAAAACATCGACCTACTAAAAAATTAATGCCACAGAAAATTGTTTCGGTTATTTCAAGCAATTGTTGATTTATAGCGAGCAGGAGTCAAAATGACTTAGTAAATATACTAAATGCAAACCGCGTTTAATAGCTATCAAGGCGAAAACTTCGAGTACGAAGATTTATTAGTTTAAGGCTCATCAGTTAGAGCTTGTATCAGACAGTCTTTTCCAAGCCTAATTTGCGTGACCTTTCTGAAGTTTCTTACAGATGGACTAGTTATCAAAACTAATCCCAGTTTGCAGTTCGAGAGTCAGTTTATATTTCTAAAAAATCAGGACTCAAAATCTGTCTTTAAAATGTAATCATTAGGACATAGTATCGCTTCGCTTTTTTTCTCGAAAAGGCAGACCATTTCCGATCGGCTTGTACCCTTTGGATGCTACTCATGGTGTTAATGACACAAGCAGTTGCAGGAACTTACCTGGAGTTGCAAATGGCACAACTCTAGCACCAGGACATCTCGAGGAACCAAATACTGCCTATCGCTTCCGAAAGTCGCAGTCGAGTTTTATCCGAATATCAAACAGTGGAATCTATAACACAAACTCTATAACTTTACTTAACTGGTTCAAAACCGAAGCCACTATGGGTCACCAGACGATACTACAACTTTCTTCTGAGGGCAAGCTGGCATTCCTTATGGCAACTGATGGTGGCATGATTTACCTTGAGGTGTATCCAAAATGCAACGTGCAACCGAGATCTATATTTCCAGATATCACAATTGAAGCATCTACTTGGTATTTCATTGGAGTTTCATATGATCACGCAACTGGTCTGATGGCAATTCGGACACGGACTCTCGATGGACGCCAAGTTGATGGAAGCATTTCAGTGGGTGTAATCAAGTTGGACACCGGGCATGATATATGGCTTGGTTATGGACCTAAATCACCAGGAGCATTCACAGGAAGCATGGCGTGTTTTCAAGTTTATGACGAGCCTTTAATTGAAGAAGATATTACGGAGGCCATGAGGATGTGCCTTCCAACTCAGTGGTCAGGTAGGCATCTGTGTAAAAGATTGGAGAAAAATCATGTATTATCTTAACTTCTGCATGCAATGCATATAAGTGGGAAAGTGCGGTGGCCTTGTGATCACTGGGTAAGAATCCTTTTCGAAAGATCCGATTAAGGGCTCTGCTTGAAGTCATTTCGTAGAGTTTTTAGGCAAGACAATTTACTCTAAATGAGCACAGTGTGTGTCAGGGAAACATGGGATGGACTGCTATCTGATGGAGACGGAGTAGCAATGCCTCGTTTCACTTACCCCTTGAAGACCGGGACTTTAGCTACTTAGTTATAGTGTATGTGCTACCCAACTCCTACGGTCAAACGTTATCTTAGCTTTCCCAAGATTCCATCGGGTAGATTAATTGAATGCGATAAACGAAACCAACATGTGTGTGTGTGGAGGAGCAAAGGGAGTGTTTTAAGGTTTTAAACTCTTTATGATATACTTTCCTTGTAATATTTTACCCGAAGTGAAATGAAGGACATGAAGCGTCCGGAAGATAAGCAACTATCAAATACTAATTGCAGTTCAAAAACTTTTATATAAAGCCCCAAATTTTTTTGCTGATATGCATTTTTTTTCTTTTTAATGTGACACTGAAGAACCTTTTGCCATATACGCCCTTAATGACAGCAACCAATTAATCGACTCAAGTGGAAATTCTAATCCAGATGGCATCGCACGCAATATTGACGAAACAGAGGGTCCATATGGAGAAGGGAGATCTATTGCATTTGAGGGAAACTCAGAGAGCTATATTCAAATATCACAAGATGGCGAGTTTTCGTTGACAGCTTCCTTTAGTATACTTGTCTGGATTTACAGGGATTGGTCTTTGAACTCGCTCATTGGAAATGGCGGTGAGATCGTGACATTTGGCTCCGAGAGTGGGTCAATATCAGGGTTGTTGTTCGGCTGTGCTTGTAACAGGAAGCTTCTGGGGAAGTTTTATTTTCCAAGCTCAGGCAAAACTACCGAGGTTTCGTATTCTCTTCCAAATTTTTTGGTGTCTACAAGAGAGTGGTACCCCATCGCGTTAGTATACAACAACGACACAGGACAAGCTAGACTGCACGTAGACGGAAAATTACGAGACATACAGTATGTTGGTACGGGCTTTGTTGGATCAGATACAAATATTTTCATTGGAAAAGGATTTAACGGAAGGGTTGCTTGTTTGCAGTTCTACCGCAGACCACTGCTAGAGGAACACATTGAAGATGCTATGGATAAATGTTACGTAGCGGGTCCGAGTAAGTTTGTAGATTAGCTAGATCTAGTGCAAAAACAAAGGTGATTTCCCACATAAGTTGTAATGTATTGAAACCTGCAGCATTTCCAATTGCCAAAACGTTTTTATTTGTAGAATTCCATTTTTCAAAGGATATTGATGTTCTCATTGTACACATCTTTTAAATAATTGGCTCTCCAAGTTGGTTTAATCTCAGAATTTAAAATATACTTTCTGAGTCAAATAATATGAAAACGCGGTGTTGCGTTCTTAGCCTTAAGTGGCGTAATTTATGGATATATTTGATTTATTAAGCTTCGCCGACCGGCAGGGACACCGCAGCAGCTTGCGCCAGCTACTGCAGGCCCAGTAAACCCACCCACCCCACCCCAGGGGAGGACATCCATCACACAGTAATCTCGTGCGTGGGAAATTAACGTCTCCTGCCCCTACAGGAGACGGAACCTCCATTTATTCGTCCCTATCCGAAAATACTAGAATATCTAACCATTTCTTGACGTTATAGAAAGGTAGCAAATTCTTCTAAATTATTTTTAAGACCCGGAGTGTTGGTCCGGCCGGTGCTCGAACCCTTGACCTCCCGCACAACAGTCCAGCGCTCTATCCATTCGCCACCCTTCGGGAGCGAGGCATTTTTCAGATAGTTCTTCTTTCGATTCATGTGGAGGGATTTTATGTACTCATGAACTATATAGCAAACACCCTATGGAGATACTAGAAGTTTCGCATATCTATCTTTTATGTGGTGCAAAACGATACTGCTGCAATCTTTAAGTAGTAGAGCACGGGCACTGAACATTTAAAAAAAAAACTCGGCGTTTTAAAAAAGAATTTTTACCATATTAATAAACTGCATTGCTAAATATGAAATATGAATATCTTCCTTTCGTTTCCTTTAGCTCCAGCTGTTTGCCAGCAGAGGAACAACGTGACCGTATCTCCGTGCCCATCTGTTGTCCCAATTTCATACAATTCCATGATTGTTATTTCGGTTACTGTCTCAGAGCTGCTTTCCAGTACCCTTAACGATAGTCTCTTAACAAGGACAAGAAATGTGACCAGCGCGTCGAGAATGACTTCAATCTCAGCAAACACGAAAATCACAAGCTTAGCAACAATATCTCTTAATACCAGTGATGTTATTGAGCAGACCACAATTTCCACAATTTCTCTTCTTTCGAAAGACACTGTCGCTAAGTCGATGGAGACTCGTTCAGTTTCCGACGTAGATGTCACCATCACTTCTGCATCATACCACGACTCATCCAGCATTAGTTTTTATCGGAAACCAACGCCTACATCAACCAACGCAGGGAGTATTGAAATGTCTTCAACCGCAAATGGACTCGTGATGAGTGAACACTTTGGAATAACGCAGGAACTGAAAGTTAGCCATAGCACGCAGTCACCTTCTGCAAGAAGTATTTCTACTAGCTGCAGTAGGTTAATACCAAGCTCTAAACTTTCTCACTCTTCTACAAAGCTCTTGATAAACTCGTCGGAGACTGCTACCCAAGCAGATCAAAGCATTCATTCAAAATTACCTTCTTTCTCCAACATTGGCATGAAATCCACAACGACGCAAGCTCTTGGACTACCATTTACATCGAGCCGCATTTTTTTCAGTCAGAAAACAAACAGTTCAATCGAACCGAGTCCACCTGTTACCAAATCTGTAGAAAGCTCCTCAATCGAAGGTAACACCCTAAATGTCTGTTTTAATTTAGCGTAACGCACAGAAAAAGTAGAAGGACTCAACATCATGGACTCCAAGCAACCCTCCCATGATGTTGATGGAATCCTTTTCTAGCTCTAAGAATGACCAGCAAATATTTTGGATCCTAGAGTTAACCTCCTCGTCGTGTACTACGAGGCACAAGCTAGATAAGTAGGGCCATTCCTATTGGTAAAGGGAAGTCTTTAAGGAACTTATCTAACCAAAAGCTGGCGATCTCAGCAATAAAATAGGGTTCCCTTTATGCTACTTATTTCATTTTCATGGGCGATGAACTATTTTTAGAGCAGATGAAGACTGATAAGACCATGGTCCTCAATTTTTTTAGTTTAACCAATCTTGGTTTCATTTCATGCATACTTTCAATAGATCATCCAAGACTTATAAACTTGAGCCAGTGGAGTGAATGGTCGTCTTGTTGCGATCCTTGTGGGAGTGGAATACAATATCGACGAAGGCCATGCAATAAAGGAGCTATAGAAGATTGTACTGGAAATGAAACTGAGACAAGAACGTGTAAGGCTCCTTCTTGCGAAGGTAATGGTATGCAACCTCGTTCCCACGATCTCTCATCTTCCCGCCCCCTGGAGGGAGCGAGGAGAGACCCTGGTTTAGGCTGGTCACGTGTTTAGAGAGCAAAAATATTCCTTAGGGACGAGTCGTTTGTTCGCTCGAGTTTTGCCTCATATCCTTTGTCATCTTCAAATCGACGCTATCTTTGTTCAGGTCGCCACGTTTTATAGCAGCCTTTAAGTCACTATATCTCGGATTTGGTATTGTAACCTTAATTCAAAACCCAAACAAGTCCAGTGTTTAGAAGCGATGCATTCGGGCAGAGATGCTGTGGCCGTTTTACCGACGGGATACGGTAAATCTTTGATTTTTCATCTTCTTAATTCTTCACTCTTCTTCGAGAAGTTAAACAGTCAACGACCTGTACCTTCCTTGTCATTTCGTCCAGTTTTTTATGTTGTTTCGCCTTTGAATACCTTTATCAAAGATCAAATAAGAACGAGCACCGGCAGCCGTAGGTTTTTTTGTGACTAAATTGAACACTGGCACGTCAAATTATGTAAACAAAGGAAAGCGAACAGTTAAATGTAATCGCGTGCGCATATTTTTCCTCTTCTGAAGGAAATAGGTACTAGAAACAGAGAGATTGGTTAGACGAGCACAAAAAAAAAATTTGTACGAATTTTCCTGGTCATGGACAACATCTTCGCAAACATATCTGCCAGCGACTGAGTCAATCGAAGGTAGCTCATTCTGAAAGAAATTTGTCACCTTTCGTGAAAATACTCGCAACTCAGAAGCGACAAAGAAGTATCTGGGACCGTCGAGACGTAACAAAAAACAAATCTGGCAAAACACTATCGAAGATACAGTTGTTTACTTCTTTTCCAGCCAAAGACTGCATTTGTGCTGGTGCTTTTACGAAATTTAGACCGCGAAGGCTTTTCTCAGATTCCCTTGCAGCATAGCCAGGGTGCGTGACACAGATTGAGATGTCTCTGTACATTGCTTCACCGTTTCGATAAAACTCTGACTTTCACTGATCACCGTTTTGAAAGAAATAAAGTTTTTCAAGCGTCTACATAATAGATGTGGAAAAAATTTTTCTCGTCTAAACGGCCGGCCGTAAATGTCCTCGGCGGCGGCGAGCGATGCGCGATTTCCTTTCGCATAGATGTTCTTCGAGAAAGATACGTCTCCAACTGATTTACAAAGCCTGCAACAATTGATATTTACCGTGGTGGAAGATTTACTGATCTTTATGGGCGTCTGCTGAATATTCTCAGTTGACATTCTGTTCGAAGCGCTTCACGTGTAGTTTGTTTTTATTGCCAATAAGCTATGCTCGCCAGTGGACTAAGTGGAGAGAAAATCCCACTTATCTGCCCCTCCCTCAAACCGCTAATTTGAAATCTCCTAAAATCTGGGAGACACGTGACCAGCCTAAACCAGGGTCTCTCCTCGCTCGCTCAAGGAGGCGGGAAGATGATAGACCCTGGGAACGAGGTTGAATGGTTTAGGGATAAGTCCTTCACTTGAGCCAAGTGGCCCAATTAGCTGAAACTTATTGTGATTTCCATAGCATGAAGTGACTAGGAGCATTACTCCCCCTCCCCCCCCCCCCAGTTGAGAAGTTGCACCCAATATTTCATCAGGTTTCTCCAAAAATGAGTCGGTACTCATTTCAACTCCTGGGTGGAGAGAGGTACTCTGAAAGTAGGCTGATAGTTTCTAAAGAAACTGTTTGGGGCTGCGTCGGTGGGGGTAACGAAATAATTTGAATATATCAACAAAGTTGAAATAGTAAATTGGCCACCGTTACGATTATAAAAGCTGACGTTTCGAGCGTTAGCCCTTCGTCGGAGTGAAAGACGAAGGGCTAACACTCGAAACGTCAGCTTTTATAATCGTAACGGTGGCCAATTTACCATTTCAACTTTGTTGATATATTCAAATTACTCTGAAAGTAGAGTGCTTTGTTCAAGAACACAACAAAATAAACCGACCAGGGCCTAGGCTTGATTTCCGCTGCTCTCTCGAGTCTGGTTTTTTTCGTTCCATCCAAAGAGTTCGGGGAGGAGCGCGGGCTCCGGTTCCCGACCAGCAGTTGATACGTAATTGAGCCTAGCCAGCGGCTCGTCTCTCGAAAGTCCCAGTGTTTTGAATATCATACAATAAAAATATCAGTTAAAGAAACAAGAATGACTGGTTTGGATGCCAGAACCTGCTTCCTATCCTTTAAATTTTGATTTTTTTAAACATGGTTTCGGGCACGTTAAATTACCGCGACTTTCGAGAAACGGGCCCCAGGTCTCGAACCGGACAATTCGACCCGGGGTCAGGACAAGGGGAACGATCAAGGGAATGTATCTTTGAGGTCCTCAATGATAGTTCTAAGCATAAGCTGTTTTTGGAAATTCTCACAACCCTTCTTCTTGTGTTTGACTTTTAGTAAGCAAGATAATTAAGGTGCACTACTTACAAAAAATTCTGGAAACCTTGTTTTACCAGCGTGTTTTCATTGCTTTAGCTACCTGTTTCAATATCACTTCAACCTTCACCGAGTGGACGTGGAATGATTCACTGTCGGTGATAAATAGCTCTAGCTTCATCTCCCTGGAAAAGAAATTGCGAGAAATGGTCAGTATGTTCGCCACGACAAGTCTTCACAAGAACCTCGTTGAACTATTCGAGATCAACGTCTATAAACGTCTATCTATCTATCTATCTATCTATCTATCTATCTATCTATCTATCTAGCTATCTACCTATCTATCTCAGATCAGTGTTGAGAAATTTCAATTTTCCTGCTAGATGCATGGACAACAAGTGGTTGAAACGACTGATATGTTATGGAGAGACAGGCCAAAAGAGACTGAATAACCGACGGATAGACAAGCAGACAGATAGAGAGGAAGCAAAATATACACAGACAAACAGACTGACTTCTTGAACGACTGAGAAAATGAGTTCTTAGTCTGACTTTGACTGATTCAGTATCTGAAATGAAGGTTTTAGAGATGTTTGGTTTATATTCTAGATCACCGTCTTGTACCCTGATGAAACTGTTAGTGTTACTCTGTTATCATGCCGGTGAGTTCCTACAAGACATTTCAATAATTATAAAGAGTGCAACTCCAAACAAAAATAACAGCATCGAACAACCAGGAGTTGTCTTATATTTCATTGTGTTGTTCTGTCATAGGAAAGGGAGTGTTATAGTCCATTTTACTGTCGCTTTTTACGTGGTTGATTCAGATCAGATGGTGAGGCTAACTGAAAATATGAGCAGCAAAGGCGGACTCCTAGCTTCTCTTGTACTGGTGAACATTACGACTAATAAAGGTAATGTGCCACAAAGATGCACAGTTTTAATGTTAAATGCCTCTATATCGTCATGAACATCTCGTTTATTCATTCATCGCATACATTCATTAAACCCAAGTGGTAGAATCGGTAACACGTGCTTTATAAAGACGTGCTTAACTTTTACTCCTCGCGACGTTGGATAAGGCAATAGAGAGATTTAGCACTGCGTTTATGTGAAGCGGGAAACATCAGCTTTCCCTTTCACGTTTAGCGCGAAATAGCATGTACCTTGCGGCTATAGCTCCGCTTAAGCTGACGTCATGGTGGATTTGAAGGAACCTTTGTGTGACTCAAAGATAGTTTTGTGCCCTTTTTCCGGTAATTAACTTCTACTTTGTGTAAGAAAAAGTGGAGAAAATCCTAAGTACAAGGCCAATGCGAAGCAGCTAACTCTCACGCAGAAACAACAAAGCACCACCTGCAAACGTGAGAAAAGGGCGGGTAAACGTGGTCATGTGGCCTCTCTTGGCGTTCATGTTTCACGCAAACGGGGTGCTAAATGTCTCTATTCGCACTAAACTAAGGGGTTAGGGTCTCCCACCTTTTAGGGATGATCAGGATATGGAGAATAGGGCAGCAAAGCCCTATCAAGAGTACTTTTCACTTATATTCCTCCTCTAGGAGTGACACTCAACACTATAAGAATTATTTCGAGAGGACAACACCTGCATGGTAGGGAGCACAATATCCAAACCTTGAAAAATGGCATATAATTGTGACAAATTTGATACTTGACCGACAGAATTCCATAAGAACACTGAGTCTCACAGTTATAAGCAAAGGGTCAACAAAGAACACCACTGAGGTTTTTGGCACAGTTTACAGTAATCGTACGCTAATTTTTCTTTGTTCCCACAGAGTAGGCTTAAAAATATCTTAATTTCTTCATAGTCTCGAACCAAGTTCCTATCATTACGGAAGCATATCTGACAAGTGCCTCTAGTCTTCGGGTGTCTTGGACTCCAGTCGAGGAGAGCATTAATGGTTATTACCTGGTATATCGATCTATCAATACCAGCCAATGGACAAGCGAGCGCACTGACGCCCTCACACTTTCTCGTCCTTTGGTGAACTTGACAAGTGGTGATGTCTACCGAATCAGGGTAGCAGCGTTTAATTCTGAAGGGAATGGTATCCCTAGTGAGGCAGTTGAAATTAAAATGGAAGAAGGAGGTGTGTTGAAGACAAAGTGTCTCTCCTTGGTAGATTAATTTGAGAACAAATTAAACAGGGATACAGATAAGCTCCAAGTGGTGGAGAATAATTATGAAAGGGAAACATATTTTTAGATTGCAGTTACCTTAACTTTAAATGCTGTCAAAGTATATGGAGAAAGTTACTTTAACGCACTTAGCTTATGAAATATCATTCCAATATCTACAGCTCCGAGGGTTGCCCCGGTAGTTTCATTGTTGAAAGTAAGAGACATCTCTTCCTTGAAGATCTCATGGAGTGCCATACCTGTGCAATTCGTAAATGGAAAGCTTTTAGGTTACCACATCGTGTACGAAACGTTGAAAATAGCTGATCGGGATGTTGATATGGCCGTGGTTCATACAGTAACCAAGCCAGCGACTGACAAGACTGAATTCACTTTGACGTCGTTGAGTTCATTCACGCTGTATAGAATTACAGTAGCGGCGTTTACCGCAGATGGAATAGGGAAGACTAGCAAAACAATCTTTGGAGGTAGGGTAAATATTAGTAGTAAATATTAATGATAAAGAATGGAACACCAGCACCGTCACCGCCATCAAGAAAAGAAAGATATCTGATCAAATTGTCTCAATTAGAATGTGGCTATAATTGGTCAATTTAGCAGGCTATATTTCCTTGTACGGTGTGCTATATTCAGAGGTTTGATTGAACGACAATTTTGCACTCTATTACTCGTTTGCCTGTTTGGATTTTACGTGCCGTGTGCTTCCTGCGTGGGCCATAAATCCGAGCAGGAAAAGTCAAGGCCACACTTTGTCAGTGAGGGATAATTATCGAATTATCCACGAAAGAACGAATTCTAATGCTATGCTTGTACACCTTAAAACAGAGTTTGTATTTAAAGCAAATGATTTAGCAACAGCTAAACCATTCAAACGAGGAAGAAAAAAAAGATGGACTCTTGATTTTCCTTAAGTGAGTAGGATTTGCCTTCAAACAGCGTTGTATGGTGATCTATTCGTTATGTCTGTATTCCTATAGTCTTTGTGACTTGCTTCACAATAAAAAAGCAACATTTTTCCTCCATAGAAACCTGTGCTTGTCCTGCAAAGTTGTACACAAACTGGGCCTCTTATCCCCCTTATGTCACTGAAATTGATCAGCAACCTGGCGGAATCATCGGGGAGCTTATTCCCGATATGATATCTTATTCATGTGGTACATGCGTGGGAGGGCATGGAGACACATTTCTAGACCTTGCATACAACGGGAAAGGAGCTTCCTCAAAAAAGACATCTATGGCTGAAGTGCGCAGTGACGTAGACGATAAAACGCATGTGAGTTTCCCTGTCATAGGAAACATGGACGATGAGAAGTATCTAAAGGAATTTATTTTCATTCCCGTGGTTGCCTCACCGGGTATCGCTTTCATATCTTCGGGTGATGAGCCGAATAGACAAGAGGCTATTACCTCGGCGTTGAAGAAAAGTTGGCCCATTGTTGCTCTCTCATTGGTGATGGCAATAATGGTTGCGATCTTCATTTGGATCGCGGTGAGTAGTTTGCGAAAACGATGAGGCTTATGGCAGACTGATTAAACGAAAAGACAATGCACAACAACCTCGTTGCCATGGCCTTTTCCCTTATTGGGGTGGGATTGCCAAGTAAGGGAAAAGGCCATGGGAACGAGGTTGAACGCACAATGTCAGTAAAAAGTTATCACATGAGAAGAACAACAGACTTTCGAAACGCGGACATGGCTTGGGGACGAGTGAGCCCTATGCAATGCAAATTAAACACTCTCATCACTGTTACTTTAGCTGTTGCATTGAGGAGGATGCTCTATCGATTTGAAAGGCTTTACTTAACCATTTTCTTGCTCCTAAATAATCATATGTTTTCCTCCTAATCAGTTAGTGATAGGAAATATATAAAGACGTAAATAACTAATATAGAATCTTACCACTCTTTTGCAACAGGAGAGACAGATCAATTCAGAGGATTTCGCACGGTCATTCTTAAAGGGAACTGGGGATCTAACATGGTTTTCATTGGTGACAATTACCACAGTGGGGTTAGCTTTGATTTTTGGCTTTATAACATAACACCAATCTAATCAATGAGTGCTGCGTGAAGTATATCTTTCTGTTCTCATTTTAAAGCGATTTCATTGCCGAGAAAACAGCTGAGTTGTTGTGGTCGAGGTAGCTGTGATCACCTGGAAATATCTGTCTTATTAATAAAAACTTATCATTAACAAAAATATCCCGGTTACAAAACATCTCTACATTAGCACTCACATACTTATTGACTGGTGTAGTTAAAACGTTTCAAAAGGCAGTTGGGGGGCGGGGGGGAGTACGGTTATAAAGTTTTGGGCGTCTTAAGTGAGTGGCTTCTAAAATTGCTCTAATATGTGTATCAGCGGGTTGGTAGTCACGCGGCGATATGGACTGGCGATCAAAATATTTTGCGGATTATTTGGATTCACGAGCCAGCTTAACCATCGGGCTTTTATGTTCCTAACTTCTGAAAAGCAAAATATCTCAATGAATGAATGAATGAAAACTTTATTCAAGAGTCGAGTGTCAAGTGTCAAGTGTATTTAGCTTTACAGGTGTAAAAACTAATTGGGGACACTAATTAGTTACGTATGATGCACGATCCTCGCAGTAGATAGCGCTATTTAAGCAATAGCGAAAAGTCAGACCTAAAATTAAAAAAAATCAGGCCTGTACGGGATTCGAACCACTGACCTCTGCGATACTAGTGCAGCGCTCTTACCAATTGAGCTAACAAGCCAACTGGGAGCAGGCCGTTAAGTTGATTCGTAATAAACCCGTGAAAGTGATAAATCAGATACAATGAAATATATGAAGTTCATATATTTTGAACTGCGGTATTAGATACGTATGATGCACGATCCTCGCAGTAGATAGCGCTATTTAAGCAATAGCGAAAATCAGACCTGAAAAAAATCAGGCCTGTACGGGATTCGAACCACTGACCTCTGCGATACTAGTGCAGCGCTCTTACCAATTGAGCTAACAAGCCAACTGGGAGCAGGCCGTTAAGTTGATTCGTAATAAACCCGTGAAAGTGATAAATCAGATACAATGAAATATATGAAGTTCATATATTTTGAACTGCGGTATTAGATACGTATGATGCACGATCCTCGCAGTAGATAGCGCTATTTAAGCAATAGCGAAAATCAGACCTGAAAAAAATCAGGCCTGTACGGGATTCGAACCACTGACCTCTGCGATACTAGTGCAGCGCTCTTACCAATTGAGCTAACAAGCCAACTGGGAGCAGGCCGTTAAGTTGATTCGTAATAAACCCGTGAAAGTGATAAATCAGATACAATGAAATATATGAAGTTCATATATTTTGAACTGCGGTATTAGATACGTATGATGCACGATCCTCGCAGTAGATAGCGCTATTTAAGCAATAGCGAAAATCAGACCTGAAAAAAATCAGGCCTGTACGGGATTCGAACCACTGACCTCTGCGATACTAGTGCAGCGCTCTTACCAATTGAGCTAACAAGCCAACTGGGAGCAGGCCGTTAAGTTGATTCGTAATAAACCCGTGAAAGTGATAAATCAGATACAATGAAATATATGAAGTTCATATATTTTGAACTGCGGTATTAGATACGTATGATGCACGATCCTCGCAGTAGATAGCGCTATNATTTATTAGTTATTTACACATTTAGAGTAAAATTTCAAATGTAAAACTGGAGCCTTATTTACATACTAATAATACTTTTAGATGGCTAAAAATTATACAGAATGATAAAATCTTATTTTATGAGCAGATTTCACAGTCCACGCAGGTGTTTTTTTTTAACAATTCGGTCAGGTTTCGTTTCTTTATGCTTTGTCTAAAATCGTTTAAAGATGTGTCTCCCGATCACTGACGCTTAAAATAATATCAGATAATAGTAAGAGGGGGGAGGGGAGGGTGGGTGGCCATTGTTATCTCAGCCCTCCATGCTCTTTTGATGCTAATTCTTAGCCAGTGTTATTCGTCACTGCCTGCAGGTTTGGAGACAGAGTGCCCACGGCAGCAGTTTCCAAACTTATCGCGATCATTTGGATCGTGCTTGGCCTGGTACTAATTTCTCTTTTTATGGCAATGCTGACGGTGTCTTTGACTGTTATGACTACAGATGAAGGGCGATCGATGTTGTACGGGACAAAGGTAGGTTCATATTCACTGAGATGATCTATGTTGATTCATGGAAAACCATGATCTATTGAAAGCGAAAACGAACTCATGCAATTTATGCTGATAAACTAGTTGACAGTCATTTTCTGCTTGCCTACATATTGATGATGGTCTGATCCAAAGATAGGTCATAACAATAGAAAAAAATGCGTGTTTTCGATAAGAAATCAAGCAGTTTGTTCTTCGCCAACTGTTAGGAGTTTGCGAAAACTATGGCTATCAAACACTCAAGGTTTATTTATTTTATTTATTTATAAAACAATTTGCCAAAGGCAGGTAAATTCACGATAGAACAAGGTTGTCCCCTACTAGATAAATTACCCTACCCTATGCCCTAAAAGAAGACAAAATTAAAACCCAACCCACTTACATGCCCCCATCCTGATTAACGTACTAAGTATTCCATGATTAGACAATAAAGCTATGAAGTTCTGATTTAACAATTAAAATAAACGAATTTCGAATAAGGTGACGGCATTAAAAGATTCTCCAGCTCATCGACTTGGAATACGAAGAAATGCCCGCGTCGGTAAGTAAAAGTTGGACTCTTATTAATTGATAAACATATAAAAAAAAAAGAAAAAAAAGAAAAGAAAAAAGAAAGGAAAGATAAATGATTTAAAGGAGCTACTCGCAAGTTCGAAGTGTCAGTTCGACTAAAGTTATCGATTAATAGTGCCGGCAAGTATGGGGACATGAGGCCTGGGCGAAAACTATTTTTCGATGGGATCCCACCTTCTCAATTAAATCTCTTAGAGACATAGAAGTATTGCTTCAAAATAATGGAACATGGAGATATCCATGGCAAATATACAATGGTGCACCAAAGCCTAGAAAGGTTTAAGATTAGATAAAGGGTAATGGGACAATTACAGACTAGGATAAGCATTTGATCCATCTACATCACTCAGTTTTAATTTGGGATGCTTTTTATTTCATCAGATCCTAGAGACACCCTCGAGGAAGCATTCGATGCTCTTGAAAACAGAGAGACTGATGGGTTACTAATGGACGCGTATGTGGCCGGAAGTGGTGTCAACGACAAAACTTACCGTGTTAACCAGGTGATTGACGTAAAAAAAGGACTTGGGGTGGTACTGGCTGGGGATGCAATGATTTTGCGTTATCGAATACGCGATTTTGTGAAGAAAAACGCAGAAAAGATCACAAGGATTATTCAAAATAGTACAACACCTCTGCTGGTGAGTTATACTATAAATTATCCTGTATCGATTGCAGATCAGCTGCAGCCATTTCACAGCATTAGCCTTCGAGAGTAGACAATTTTATTCGGCTTTTTGTTTCACCCAAGTCAGCGTAGCCACGTATTTTTTCCAATAATTGAAGGACACATATGCGTTAGATTGGGAGGGAAAACGAATTTCATCGACTTCGCACCGATTTGAATTGATACTAGAACAGTCCTTAACAGGAAAAACAGAAAGGTCGATTCTCCTGACAACAGAAAGATTTATATCAACCCCATTGACCACTTTCATAAATGGCTGCCGGATTAATATTCTTTTGTTTAAATTTAAATTAGCCTTTCTGGCCTCGTTCTCCAGTTCAAAATTCAAAAGAATGCATGATCTCAAGCGAGGCTAGTGAGGCTAATTTGAATTTAAACAAAAGAATATCAATCCGGCAGCCATTTATGAAAGTGGTGTATACTTACAACGTAACCGTCTCTATAAATAGCAACCAAAACAGAGTATTGCTGAGGAAAAGGTGCAAACCCTTGTGGATATCAACTCTCAAATCTTCCGAGATGCCATCACTTCAGTGACAGGTGCTCTAATTGTGAGTGTTATGCTTGGAATTGCCTGGGAACTCTTTCGAAAACGACGCCTTGGCCGAGAAAGAGGTACGGACTTAAGAGTAACATCTCTATTGCATATGCAGTCCTCTAACTAATTCTTTACTAATATGGTGAGTTGTAAGGATATGACTGCATTTCAGTTAGGCTATGCTCTCATTTTGTAACTGGGATTTATTTAATGACAGAGTTTGTTTGAGGAAAAAACTATAGCTATTTGCAGGTGTTGTAATCCTCTTCGTGTCACTAAGAGACACATAAGGCCTCGACCAGAGTTCGCCATCGATGTCTGGCGGGTGCTTGCCGCTCCAGGTGCCCCCAAGTCCAGTTGTTGTCCTTCATTTCCCTTTCCACCGTCCTCCCCCAGGTTTTTTTCGGTCTTCCTCTCTTCCTACGTCCATCAGGGGTCCATCTGAGAGCAACTCGTGGTAGTGCGGCTGGTGGCATGCGCAGCACATGCCCAATCTATTTCCATCTCTTCTTCTGGACTTGCTGTGTGTATCAATTTGATTTGATAATGATTTGCAGGTGTTGTATCAAAAAAGAAAAAGGTGGCAAAATTGATGTTTTCCATGAAGATGATTTTACGATGAGATCAATATCTTTAGTCACTAATTTCCCTGTGACAGAAACATGTTATTGGCAAATGTTCGCGTTTCAACGGAAGAACAGTGTATGTAATGTTGGAGTTCTTTAATATAATAATTTGGATGGATTAACAAAGTTGAAGTGGTAAATTGGCCATTGTAACGATTACAAAAGCTGACGTTTCGAGCGTTAGCCCTTCGTTAATATAGTCATAACTGTTGAAAATGATCTGTTTTTATTTCAGGAGAAAACAAAAACTCTTGTAAATCAGATATGGCAGAGGCTGTAGACGACTTCCATAAAAAATTTAAAGAAACGTATGGCAGGTTAAAGAAAAAACATATAGAGCAGTTGAGGACTCATGAGAGTTTTGCCAAAAAGACTGAGTGCAATACAAACATATAGCATCACTGTTTTTGGGTATATCCTCGAAGTACCACGAATGTCAAAGATAATTTCTAATTTAATTTCTTCCTAACAAAGTTTTTGGACGTGTGGGAAGATTGTTTACCAAGAAGAAGAGATTTTTTTGTCGACTAAGACACTAAAACACAAGATAAGTCTTTCTATCTACAAGATGTTTTCCCCACGATTTGCACTTCATTTGGGCAAGGCTAGACAATCCCTCTTGCCAAAACGAAAGGTATGAATTCAAGACTAGCTTGCTTTGGCCTTAGGCTATCAACTGGCGATGTAGAAAATGATTAAGTTGAACGTAACACGGTTAAGAATGTTTAACTTTAATAATTGATATTATCATTATTATTAATAGGCAAGAAACCTTGGGCATTTTCGAGTAAAAATTTGTCGAATCAATTTTTCTTGTTCGCTTGTGGATCATGACAATTTTAGTCAAAGGCTGCACCGTGAACCCTCTCCGGTATTTTCTCGATTAGCTGAACCACAATCAGTACTAGATCCTCCGTCGGGGCCACCATGATCTCGTGTCTTTTATTTCGGACCCTAATGAAGCACAGCTCGTTCTGAGGGTCTAACTCTCGCACTGCGGAACGGGCCACATTAATAAGGTTCTGATATTGCAATGCGTACAGTTTTGTGGTGGTGAGGTCGAGATTTGATCGCATTATCAGGCCGTCCCGATTTGCCACCATGAGTGCGATTACACCTTGATGACCTTGGATACGTCGCAAGACTCGTTCAACGTCTGTTTTCGAAACTGATGCTTGAAAAGCTTGCATGTCAAGATCATCCATTATTCTACGAGAAGAAAAGTTCTAACTGAAAGTGATACGTTAACATGAAATAAACTTGAAACACAAGGCTTTTGCCACTTTAGGGTCCAACAGAAATCCCAGTGATCAGTCATGGGGATGCGACCTGGATCTGCGTGCGAGTACATTAGTTACATTTTTAAGTGGCTAGCTTGGTGCGTTTTTCAAATAATTAACCTAAAACCAGCAAGTGAAGACAACAATCGGTAATATGCGAAAGAATCCTGAAAACCTCAGGGAAAAGTGGTTTCTGAACGAGTAAGAGCGAATAAAATCATTGTCACCACAATTCACTGCATCTTTATTTCCAAACGACTTCAAATACTTGGTTACGTGGATACACAATTTAGAAGACCTCATTATAGTTGGACAGATGGAAAAGATAAATCATACTTAACTGTCACGGTGTAAAAGACGTTAATTAAGAGGAAAACACTTGAGATTTTGTAGACAGGATCTTAATACGGTTATTTTCCGTCAAAGGCCAAAAATATTCTTTGTATGACGAAGTACTGTTAACATCGAAAGAATCAGTTTTTAAAGCATTTCCGACATACTTGGGAGGAATATTTTAAATCATTACAGTAATGATAAAACCACAGTGCGAATATTTAGAATGACGTGTGTGTATCAAAAATCTCTTCCCCAACGATATTTAGCGTTCAGTTGAAACAGAAAAGTGGATTGGCTTTGATATCGTGTTTAGGAAACATGTCTTCGCAAACTGATTTTGTAAGCTACCGTGGTACAGGAGAAAATCATTTGTCGTGTATGTAACAACGTCAACATACACTCGCGTAGTTTTAGCTACCACTGAAGTCTAAAATCTCCATTTGAATCTTTTTCCCAGTCATGATCAAACAAGTTCACTCAAAACGAAAGTCTCACCTTGCTTGTCTTCGAAGTCGCTGTGGGAAGGCTGCTACACTCAATAGAACTAAAAAAAAAACGGTTTTCTAGAACCTGAGTTTAATGAGTACGCTTGCCTAGGGCTTCTCAACAATAACAGGTGTTTTAATCTTATTTAGTTTACACACAATAAAGCACAGCAATTCACAATTACTGCCGGATCTTATATTTACATTTGAATGTAAACTGACGTACAGGAAAAAGGGAAATTTTAAATTTGGGCTGTTTTTTCGAATTCTCACAGGTATCTTAAATTCGAATTTCGTACAAATTTTCACTTTAGTTTTTTTTAGCGGCCACAAAAGCAACAGTTTTGGAAAATCATAGATACAGCAAGATAGAAAAAAAATTGTAATAATAATTACAGAAATGAAATATCGTACATAAACTAAAGAAAAAAATTTAAAATTTTGGTGACTACCTAATTTTTTTTCCCTAATTTGTGCGAGGTTCATTAAAAACAGCATGAATGCTTAAAATGTTTGTCAATTTGAATGATTATTTTTCGCTAATTCACTTGAAGCTGTCCTATGACCGACAAATAAACGTGTGCTATCATATAAGTACCCACTGACATAAAACAATTTTTAACGTAAAAACTCAAAATCACATCTCTTACGTCGGTGGAAGGTATTACAAGATAATTTAGTTTTATAATCTCAGCTGATAATGTAAATTGGCCACTGTAAAAAGAATCTAAAGCAGATGTTTCGAGCGATATCCGTATCTGGAGAGATCAAATATCAACAGAAATTTTGCTCAGAAAATTCCTGAAAAACGATTAAAGTGCTAGGTGAGAGTTCGTACATCTTAAAATATTTGAAATCAGTATGAATCTTGTCTAACCTCCTTTTTCATGTAGTATCCTTTTAATTAAACTTTGCTATTACGTTGCCCACCCAAAATTTACTGCTTTCCTTATGCTCAAGCACAGGCTTGCCGTCTTAAATAAGTAAATAGTAAACAGGAAAGAGAAAAAAAAAAAAAGAATGGAAAAAAAAGAAATATGGTGCGCTGCGCTCTTATTTTTTAACTGGCTGAAACTATTTATTGAAATACTACCTAATTTTAATGTAAGTTTAGGATTTACTGGGGAAGGAAAAACAAATCATCTTTGGTTAGTGTGAAGATATAATCAACATCTAATCTCCAAAATTCATGTGAAACAAATTTTTGTGGAAAAATAATGTCATATTTGCTTCAGAATTACTTCAATAAGCGAAATACTAGTTTTGTTAAGTTTGTTTGGTCATTTTTTTACGGAAGGAAAATCTCCCAAAGAACGAAAGTTGATACGAATGGGCTTAAGAGCACTTTTAAATTTAATTTATCAAGGTTAACTCGAAAACGTTTTTTCTGGGAATATGTACATAGCAAGTGGCTCAAAAACTCTTTCCTTTCACCAGAGCTACCAAAATTAAAGATCGTCCGAATGCAATCAAAGATGTCAGTTAGTATGCACCTGCCAAGGATGATCCATTTAATCGTTATGGTTTTTGTTACACATATAACAAAGTACCTGAAGAAGTTTGACATATCCGCAGACTGAGAAACCCGAGGATACCGAAAGCCTAGCAGAAAAAAAATGAAAATAAATCAAGATTTAAAAAATTACAAAACAAAACAACAACAATTAACAAAAGCAAAGTCAACCAGTTCTTCGGACACGACAAACTTTATTTTGTGAAACCCTCAGTGACACCACCATCCTTGAAGGCTACAGTTCGAGATAGCGCCGCATAGAATTCCACGGGTGGTAACAAAGAAATCTATTGAAGAAACCATCCCTCGAGCAGAATGACCCTCAAAATCAAGAAACAAAGGGAAAAATATTCACATCCTTGAGAAACGGAATACGAAATCTTTTACAACTGGTTGATACCTAAAATGAACCTATTGAGTAATAATGACGACACTGGAAATCATAACAAAATCGAAAATCCGTGTACCATTTTGATTGAGTCGTTTAAAAACTTCAACAAGAATATTTTCCTCTGATGTGGATACACTTTTCCTTCATAACTTTCTCTTTTGAATCAAGGATTAGAATGAAAGAAAGGAAATTAAACTTTGTATAGCAGTAGCATTTCTTTAACTCTAAAATTCCAGATTAGTTTCACGCTTTCTTTGTTAGTAAAGAATTTTATAGATAACAGATTTGTTCTCTTACCTTTGCTAGAGACATTATTTCAAATTAGCTTCGAACAGAGGTAGAACTGAAAGCTAATTATAATGACCTCCCTCGCGTTGGTGTAGCAAGATTGAAACAAATAACTTAATTGTACAGTAACTTTAGACCTTAATTACGGTGGCCTACAACTGTCACATCAAATTAAAGTCACTCACATCAAATTAAAATCACTCGCATCAATTAAAAATCACTCACGTCAAATTAAGATCACTCGCATCAAAATAAAGTTATTCACATTACATTGAAATCACTCACATCAAATAAAAATCGCTCACATCAAATACAAATCGCTCACATCAAATTCAAATCACTCACATCAAATTCAAATCGCTCACATCAAATACAACTCGTTACATCAATTGGTCAGCGGCTGAGTCAATGAATGCTATCCCCAATGTGTATTCGGTCTTCCACTTTACCGCCATTTTGTACGATCCGTTTTGTACGATCGTTCTTTGACTCGACACTAGTTCATTGATCAGAATTCTAGCAAATATGTATTGCACTAATTGTGGAAGCGATCCATGTTGAAAACTGTAAATTCTGCAGAACCTGTGGCAAAGGTAAGAGAAATGTTGCACCTATTTTATGTTCTACATGTACATTATGGACGATCGGTGAGATCTAGTGTTGCTCATTTCGGCTCAACATCGACTTGCACGTGTGAAAGTGGGATTTTGGGAAAAGAACGATCGTACAAAATGGCAGTAAAGTGGAAGACCGAGTAAACATTGGGGATAGCATTTATTGACTTAGCCGCTGACCAATTAATGTAACGATTTGTATTTGATGTGAGCGATTTGAATTTGATGTGAGCGATTTGAATTTGATGTGAGTGATTTGTATTTGATGTGAGCGATTTGAATTTGATGTCACGATTTGTATTTGATGAGAGTGATTTCAATTTAATGAGTAACTGATGTGAGTGATCATAATTTGATGTGAGTGATTTTAATGAGCGATTTGAATTTGATGTCACCGATTTGTATTTGATGTGAGTGATTTCAATTTAATGTGAGTAACTTTATTTTGATGTGAGTGATCCTAATTTGATGTGAGTGATTTTAATTTGATGTGACAGTTGTAGGCCACCGTGGATATGTCATTTTAATTTGATGTGTGACTTTAATTTGATGTGACACTTGTAGGCCACCGTAGTTGTAGGCCACCGTATAATTCACTAATGTTTTTTAAATAAAAAGATAAACTCTCCTTACGTTTGAGCGATGCATCCCCATCGCAGATCTCTGTTCGGAGAAAATGGTTTTACATCTGCAAATATCTTCTTAACTTTATATTTTTCAAAACAACTGTATCGGCGCTAGGACAAATAAAAAGCATCAATCATGAATTAGCGAATAATTGAGAATCCATGGATTAGGGACCAGCCATAGTCTACCGTCGGGGAGGGGGTGGGGACCACATAGTATTATGGAGAACAGAGGGGGGGATGAGTCGTCGCTTTCAGAATGAAGAGGGGGGAGCTATTAAATATAGAAAATGGACTGCAAATGAACGCGGATTGTTAGAATACTGGAGAGTCTTAATGGTAACCAGGTGACAACCAAAAGCCTCCACATTCCCCACCCTCCCTCCTCCTCACCTCCTTTAGTTGTGCAAACCTGCAAGAAGGGTTAAAAAATTTTGGCTTGTCAATGTAATTTTTTTTGTTGATATTATTTTTCATTTTTCTTTGTTTGTATGTTTTAAAAAGCATCAGGGTCGAATATTAATCGTGCATGACATTGGGTTAGATTTTAAACAGCTTAGTTCACAATATCGTTTGAGTTCTAAAATCTTTATTATCGCCTTCGGCTTCAGTGTCATTTCTTAGGTACTGGCTTCTACTACAAATTGTGCTCCGAGCAATAGGATCTACGTACGGAAAAAGACAAAGTACATCTACTAGAAGCTTAAAGTTTACAATATCGTTTTAGCTCTGAAATCTTTATTATCGCCTTCGGCTTCAATGTCACTTCGTAGTTTCTAAACTTCTGCTACAATTTGAGCTCCAAGGCTAAAGATCTTCGCAGGGAGGGACAAAGTATGAGAAGATTGAAGTAGCTAACTAGTACTGTCTAACAACTAGCGTAGAGCAGGATACAGTGTCAAAACCAAGTATTCCTTCTCATGAACTACCAAAGCTTCCCTTGGCTACAAGTGTCTCGTCTCTCTTCAGGTTGACTGCGCGATTTACCGTATTTTTCCTTTCATAGAGATTCTAATTTCCCTCTAAAAGGTATGTTATTTGGCGCACGATGCCAAAAGTTACCTACTTTCCCTGGAATTCAATAAACTCGCTACGATTCTTTTGAAACTTGCTAAGACTGGTTTCGATTCTGGTAAACTAGGAGCTTCAAGTAGCCCCGAGACCCGTACATAAAAACTGCACAGCTCAATTCCCTCCACATTAGAAGACTGGAAGATTGTGGAGACAAAATTCATTGATTGAGTTTAAGGTTGCTTGGAGAAGACAATAATTCTTTGGAAGGAAACGAAGTCCTAGTAACTTCTGCCAAAAAGCGTGTAACATTTTGGTGTCTGGTCGCATCCAGGGTATACACACTTCGTGTCAGCGGTGATCTCCAGGGGTTGATCGAAGGGAATGCACAAACTCTTTGCTCCCATTGATGGTGCACCAGGTTCCAAATCTTGGTCCCTGAAATAAAATGTGGAAGGATGTGATCAATTAACTGCCAAATCGTGTTTTCCGATTGGCTGCTAAATAAGGAATTCTGAGTCCTCGTTGGCTACAGGAACGAATGCCGAGTTCTCGTTTGTTGCTGAATAAATAATTAACAAATAATAATAATAAATAATTTAGCAATGGACATTCCACTGGGTGGCTCTTCCTTGTCCAATTTTTCCAGATCGAACTGGAATTTGGAATGTTGGTTTTTGCGGAGGGAGGAAAACTGTAGGACCCGGAGAAAAACCCTCGGAGCAAGGACGAGAACCAACAACAAACTCAACCCGCATGTGACACCAGGTCCGAGAATCGAACCCAGGCCACATTGGTGGGAGGCTAGTGCTCTCACCACTGCGCCATCCCTGCTCCCCTGCTGAAGAGAATCCTGAGTACTGATTGGCTACTGAAGCGCATCATAAGTTCGTAATAGCTACAAAAGGAAACATTGAGCTCTGATTGGCTACCAAAGCGAGTCCTGAGAAAGGATTCTCTCACCCGCCTGGGATTCTCCGGTTTGTAACTTTGAATAAATACTGTTATGTAACTCATTATAGCAGCCCTAAAGAAAAAAAATTCGTAGCATTTCCACACATTCCGCTAAGGGCACAAAAATTTTTCCCTCTCTATTTCTGGGAATGGACCAATGGCCAGCCACTTTGACCTCACACTTGGTCAATTACGCGAATACACTAACGCCCATTACATCAGGGGCTTTACGACAATCAGTGAAGTGTGATATCAGTTTCTGGTCATGCGTCTGCTTTCATACCTTGCACTGTCCTTCTTAATTTTTCCCTCACAGGTCCCGTCGCCACAGAACGGCGCTTGGATGATCTAAAAAGAACGCAATATTACTTATAATCTTTTATTAAGAAACTTTCATTACATCGCTGTGGTTTTCAGAAAGGTCCTTAAAGGTAATAAATCAGACTCTATGAAAAATGAAAGATACCTAGAGATAAAAAAAAATTAATTTAAAAACTAAATTAAAAATTGATAAGAAGCTGCAATTAAAATACAACAAGAGTTAAATAAAAAAGCTACTGAAAATGCTACGCTTACAATGTCTGGTGCGTTTCTAATGGTTTTATCTAGGTTGTTCCAATCTTTCAGAGAGTGACAACACACTCTATGTTTACCCCAATTTTTGGTTGTAAGGGTTAGTCCAAGCATGTTTCTATTTCTTGTGTTGTCAATAAATAAATACACTGCGATGTAAGTTTATAAAACTGCTTTATTCTAAGAAGGGGCAGGTAAGAATGGGAGAATGATGAAAAGAAACCTTATAGTAAAACAAGTTGGCGACGAAATAAGAAGATCATTCACAAGGATTTCTACAAGAAACGATCAACTTGAAAAAAAAAAAAAATAGCTGGAATTTTCATCTGGAAACAGTGGACAAGAAGAGCCACCCAGTGGAATGTCCATTGCTAAATTATCTATTATCTATCATTAATATTATTTGATATCAAAATTATTATTTTAAGTTCAGTCGTAAATTATTTTGCGTAGAACTCGAGTGTCTTAAGTAATCTTAAAGGGTTTACTTTGTCCGATCATTCTAAAACGCGTGCTACTCTTTTTTAGCCAATCAGAAACAAAACTAAAATCATGCGTGACAAGGTCGCCCGCGTTTTCCCGCGTTTTAGGCAGATTTTTGTGCTCGGTCCTTCGAATTCTCACTCGTCCAGTGATATTTTCTATTCGCTCGAATTAGACGTTGTGATTTCAACGAGCACGTCCGACGAAACAAGTGCGAACATAGTTAGAGAGTACAAACCTTTTGTTTATCCAGCATTGCGTTGAACTCGGTCCAAGTGTGAGCTACAGCAAGATTTGAATCCAGGTCGTCTTTCGCTCTGATATGAAATGCGATCAAAATAAAAGTAAGAGGCAGCACGTTAAGTTTCCTGAACGACCTTGCCAAAACGGGCGCTAACTGGTAAGGGAGGGGAAGGGGGAGTTAGATTCCCCTCCCACCCTACTCTATCAAAAGTAGTTTTGTCACTCTTCCCAGCTTTTGCGGGCAAACATATTCAATATGACGTCCTTGTATGATTGGAGTAGAATTTCAAGCCTGTGCGATTTTTCTAAAATATTAAAGTAAGTACATTCTACCAGGAGCAAGCTCTAATTCTTTTCCATTAACCTCTGGGAATAAGACATTGAAGAAAACCTGACAATTTAGGTTGATGTTTGCATGCAGCAGTTACCTCTTGTACATGTCGGAATGAATCCGCTCCAAAGTTTCTGGAATTTCCTTCTCAATACCAGCTTGCTTGATAACACGCTAGAAATTACAAAAGGAAGAAAAGGTTTTTACGCATTGTGGATTGGGGATGCTGCAACTGCAGAAGAGAATTTTCACGCTCATTTTGTTCAACGCAACAAGAGGCTCTTTACCGAAACATTTCTCTGCAAAACTACAACAGATATCACCTTGGCAAAACAGAAAATCCCTAAAATCCCTTTACCTTTTCTCCAGTATCTCTCCGTACCATAACAGCTTGTTCGGACTTCAAATCACGAGGTCCAACTTCGATACGAAGAGGCACACCCTGGAGAAAAAAAAAAATGTATACATTAACATCAAAACCAAAGGATACCAGTCTCTCCTACATGTTTAGAAGGGGTAAATCATGTAAGAAACAAGGAAGATAAACTATACATTGTTCCAGCGATTAACTACAACGTTTTGACCTTCAGCCATTTCTTCAGGTACATACAAATTAAAAATTTTACGGCTAAAAAGCCTGATATCGAAATCAACGGAGGCCCATTGCTGGAACTTGTGCTACCTGTGGCTACACATACCTTCAATTCCCAGTGATTAAATTTCCATCCTGGAGAATAATTATCTCTGTAGTCTCCTTTGGCTCTCACTCCAGCGGCTTTGAGCCTCTGCTCCAATTGTTTACACTTGTCTAAGAGCTTGGTCTTTTCGTCTTCGGGGAGGTTGACAGTTAAGCCGCAAGGAACAATAATAGTCTACAAAAATGAGGTTAAGTGTCACATATCTGCCGACAAGAGAGAGCTATGCGAGAGATCTGGGTCTGAGGACTCGGTGTTTTTTTTTTTTTTTTCATACTAGTTATAGCTTCAAAGGTCCATGCAAAGTTTCACCAGGAAAAAATCGTTTTAAGAAATTTGGTGCAGAACAATTTTTGAGTGAGTATATGAAGTAAACTGTCATGTTATCTGAGACAGCTTCGTTGCACATTTTGATTAGTCGAAAAACAAAATCGTATCGTCCTTTCAACCCATTAGGATGCAGTCAAGATGCAAAGCTTAAAACCTGTGGCGACTTGTCTTCTTGGGCTTTAAAGCGCTTTAAGTCACATTTAAAAACTTCAAACTCTCACTAGCTCCACAGTGAGAAGAAGAGTCGTTTCTGGCTGCATTTCTAACTAAATTCATCCTAAAATACCAGCGTTACTAGATTTTGAGGACATACCAACTGAGTGACGAACAAAATCAGGGATTGCTTTACGTTGGCTCTACGACGTACTGTGATTGATCCGGAAAACTTGTTCCAATTTCTCAGCGAAACAGATCAGTGATGGTTTTCCGCACCAGAAGCAGTTTGCTTGTTTTTACTTTTAATTCTTATAGAGTCTTTTTCATAATTTCCTTCACTTTGATCGGCTATTGAAGTTTTTTTTTTTGGTTTTAATTGTATGACAATCAATCGAATTGCATAAAAAAAAAAGTGCTACAGCGATTTCAAAGATACCTGAATTGACGCCACGCGAGGAGGTAGGACAAGTCCTTGATTGTCGCCATGAACCATCGTCATGACACCAACTGTTCGCGTAGTAAGACCCCAGGAATTTTGGTACACGAATCTTTTGTCCTATAATAAAGTAATTAAAAAAAAACAAAAAAACAAAAAAACAAAACACACACACATACACAAAAAGTCAATTAATAAAAAGATAAACCAAACCTAAAAAATAATGACAACGATTGACTTAACCCTTTTTACTAATGTCGGTCTCAGTACCACAAAAGAATTGCTCCTCCACGCACCCACCCTTACGTGTGATAATGCACCGCAAGCCCTCAACCCCACCAATAGTTCTCCAGACTCTACTGCGTGATGATAATCACTGCTTTAGATTTCGTATTTCCTGAGCAAAGAGTAGGGAAGCGGGGGGGTGTGTGGGTGTGGGTGGGGGAGGAGAGCGAGAGGGAAGAGGAGAGGGGAGGGGTTTTCCTGCAATCCTGCGATGAACCATAATTCCATTTCAAGTAAACATAGTTGAGCTGACCTGTTTCGTTGGATCGGGATCCTCAAAGACAATGTCGAACATCTTAGAGAAGTTTTGTCCTAAATGGTGAGACGTCGCCCCCTGAAATAAAACAATGACATCACCGTTAATTGCACACATTTAAAACTCGTGGGGCTGTAAACGGTGCTAGAGACAGACAACCCGCTCATAAAGGAGATGCAGAAACCAAATAATTTGACGCCAAACAAACCTGAATTCCTCGTCCACTGGCTGATATGTAGATTTCGACTGTTGTAGTGAAGTCGCCACCTGCGAATTTTTCCTTCTCAGTTTTCTTTCCTTTGATAACTGGAATGGCCAGGAGATCAGTGTAAACTTGACGGTAAAGATCTAAAATTGTGTAAACCTGGGAAAAGAACGAAACTCAACATTACGAAGCGAATAATTTAAAACACAATATCACACAACAATTCCCTATGTAGGGGGTGAGAGCTAGGACTAAATTAACCTAATATTATGGTAATGGGAGAGGCACACTGGCCTCATGGTAGTGCGCTCGACTCCGGATCGAGTTGTCCGGGTTTGAGCCCTGGCGGGGAACATTCTGTTGTGTTCTTGGGCAAGACACTTTACTGTCAGAGT